ATCCTTTCAAAGTCTACACAGGCCAATTTAGATCCAAATGCAACTTTAATCACTCATCTAAAATTTAGCTCTGAAAACTTTTAAAAGAATTTTTTATAACATTTATCTTGATATTTTATCTTGATAAAGTTACATGATATATAAGCATCACCAATGAAGGTATGGACAGTATACTCTTCCCATGACCCATTCACATTAAAATTTTTTTTCGTTCTATATTCTTTGAGGATTTAAGTCGCTTTCATCCTTTCTTTTCCTTTCTTCTTCCCTCCCTTCCTTCTTCCCTTCCTCCATCTCTCTGTTTCTCTTACTCTTGCTCACTTGCTTGCTTCTTGCTTTCAAGAGAACTGGGGCTTAAACTCTAGTTCTTTTTTTTTGGGGGGGGGGTCCTGCTGTGGGGCCTGAACTCTGGGCCTGGGCGCTGTCCCTCAGCTCTTCAGCTCAAGGCTAGCGCTCTACCAGTTGAGCCACAGCACCACTTCCGGCTTTTTTCTTATGTGGTGCTGAGGAATGGAACCCAGGGCCTCGAGCATGCAAGGCAAGTGCTCTACCAATGAGCCACCTTCCCAGCCCTTAAACTCTAGTTCTTGTGCTCATACTTGGCCTTTTAACTCAAGGATGGCATTCTACCACTTGAGCCATACCTTCACTTTGCTGGTTCATTGGATATAAGGGTCTCTTCATTTGTTTCCCTGGGTTGTCTACGGACTATGATCCTGACATCTCAGTCTCCCAGGTAGCTAGGACTACAGGTGTGACTCACTAGCACCCAGCTGAGTCAGAGTTTCTTAAACTCACCACTCATGGCATTTCCGTTTGCTGATTCAAGGGGCTGCTTTGTGCACTGTGGGGTGTAGAGTGGAATTCCTACCCATTGCTCACAAAACATTGCTCACAACTTCCGCAAACATCAAGCCAAAATGTCTTAGGGAAGGTGGGAGGAGGGGAGTGGAAGGGGATGCCAAAATTGTCTCATTCTAGAGATTCCTCAGTAATACTAAAATTACATAATGGCTCTTGCCTCAGCACCCCACTCACCACTCACAGTTTGGAAGGGATGTGTAGTGACCTGAAAAAAGGGGACTGTGTTATAATAATCCCTTGTCTATATGAAAGTCCTGTCATCATCTAGTTCTGTTCCTAGTCATCCAATGTTCTCATGACCCAGGCACTAGTGGTTTACACACTAGCTATTTAGGATGCTGGAGGATTGTGGTTCAAGACTAGCCCAGGCAAAAAAGGTCACTAGCCTCCATCCCCAAAATAACCATCAAAAAGCTGGGGTGGAAGCCGGGCACTGGTGGCTCATGCCTCTAATCGTAGCTACTCAGGAGGCTGAAATCTGAGGGATTGCGGTTCAAAGCCAGCCCGGGCAGGAAAGTCCAGGAGATTTTTATTATATTTTTATTATAATTATATTTATATTATATTTACATTATATTTTTATTATTTTATAGTTTATTAAACTACCAGAAAATTGGAAGTGGCACTGTGGCTCAAGTTGCAGAGTGCTCGCCTTGAGCTGAAGAGTGAGGGACAGTGTCCAGGCCCAGAGTCAAGCTCCATAACCAACAAAGAAAAAGCAGGGCTGGATTCATGGTTCAAGAGGTAAAGCACAGTCCTGTAGGGGGCGTGTTCTCTGGAGTAAGGAGAAAAGTACCGTCTCTTCCCTAAAGAGTAAAGAACATCATAAACCATATCTCCACTTTTTGGTGGTTACTTGTAGAGTTTAATGGACTTTCATGCCCTGGCTTGCTTCAAACTGAGATCCTCAAATCTCAGCCTCCTAAATAACTAGGATTATAGGAGTAAGCAACAAGTTCCCTGCAAGAACATTTACTGTTGATCAGTAAGTCAATACACAGTGCCAACCTCTTCACTAGTTTATCCAATAACCCTAAAAGATTTGATGCTGGTCTCAGTATGGCAATATACTGAGGTTGGAACAAAGACTAATAGAAGCAACGTGGGAGAAATGGGGTGACAGAGAATTACTATAGCAAATCTAGAAAACTGAGTCAGATGAGGCAGTTATACAGTTGGTCAGATTGTAATGAATGAGGAAACAAAAAACAAAATACTTTGGTCTGAGGACCAAAGTTCACAGAACCTTTATTATACACGAAATCATAGTGACATTTATATAATGAATCCATATTCAGGATAAGCAGTAAAGAAGCATCTAAGGACAGGCTTATTTTGGACTTCTGTAGCTTGAAAAGGTCATTGCTTTGGTTCAATACATTGATGTGGAAAAAACAATGAAGTAATTCAGTGTATCTTCCCAAAAAATAAAAAAAGGCTTTTAAGATAATGAAATTCTTGCTTTTGAACTAGACAATAACAGAAATTAGAATTCTATTCATTTTTGTAGTATGACCTCATACTTCTTGTCAACTCAGGTCTAATGAGGCAGTTTTGAAACTTTAAATTTTGCAATTAAAATAGCTTACATCATAGTTAAAATTTTGTCTATGCTTATCTAGACCTCACTGTCAAGGGTAAGTATAACCAAAAGAAAATGTTATATAGAGCATGGCACTGGTGGCTCATGCTACTCAGGAAGCTGAGACCTGAGGATCGAAGTTCAAAGTCAACCACAACAGGAAAGTACATGAGACTGTTAGATTCAATTAATCATCAAAAAGGGCAGGTGCGGGGTGGGGGGAGGGGGGGAGTGGGGAGGAGCCGGTGGGGGGGAAGTGAGGCTGTAGCTCAAGCTAGCCTTGAGTAAAAAAAACAAACACAGGGACAGCACCCAGGCCCTGAGTTCAAGACAAAGAGGGAGGGAAAAGAGAAAAAAGAAAAGAAAGGAAAAGAAGAAAGACAGGGAAACGGAGGGAGAGAGGAAGAGAGGGGAAGAGAGGGCTGGGGAGGGGAGAGAGAGTTCTATAAAACTAGATATATGACTCCTCAAGTGGTAGAGTACCAGAAAGAAAAGCTGAGGGCCTGAGTTCAAGCCCCTATACTGAAACAAAAAAATCAGGTAGGTATCTAAGGCAGTAAGTACATGATAGTCATATATATACCACCATGAGTATAGTTAGGAACAAGAACAAAATGACAAATATCTCATAATCTAGAATATTCTATTTTAAACTCATTTGAAAGCTGTTTTCTAGAAATCCTCAACAAAGAGAATTTCAAAGAACACCAGCTCTTTTATAATGCATTCTCTGGTATACATTTTTTTTTTGCAAGAATAGGAAAGTAACCAAAGTAAACATAAAATAAGCAAAATAGAAATGGAGTTTTCCAGAATAGTAATTCTAAAAATGCCCAGTACTGTTTTGACTGAATGTTCAGTATTCATTATAAATGAAAATCTATTAAGAAGAAAATGTACATTAAAATAATGCAGCTTAGCTTTCATGGTTTTTTTTGTTTGTTTGTTTTGTGCTGTTATGGGGCTTAAACTCAGGGCCTCATGTTCTCATTCAGCTTTTCTACTCACAGCTGGTACTCTACACCACTTGGCCCACAGCTCTACTTCTGGCTTCTGGCTGGATAATTGGAGGCAAGAGTCTCTTGGGTCTGTGTACACAGGCTGGCTTTGAACCATGATCCTCAGGTCTCAGCCTCCTGAATAGGATTACAGATGTGAGCCACCAGTGCTCCGTATATGTTGTAATTTAAAAGGCTTTACATTCTACCATCAAAAAGAATTGTTTTAGCTAGGCCCTGGTGGCTCAAGCCTGTAATCCTAGCTACCCAGGAGGCTGAGATCTGAAGATCATAGTTCAAAGCCAGCCAGGACCGGCAAGTCAAGAGACTCTTAACTCCAATTAACCACCAAAAAGCCAGAAGTAGTGCTGTGGCTCAAAGTGGTAAAGGGCTAACCTTGAGCAAAAGAGCTCCAGGACAGGGCCCAGACCCTGAGTTCAAGCCCAGGACTGACCAAAAACAATAACAACAAAAAATGTTTTATGTTCCTTGAAGTTAAAAGTTTAATGGAAATTTATTTGCAAAACCAAATGGCCAGTGAACAAAAGAGAGCTTTCTACCATTACACTTTTTTCTTTACAGGCCACTTAATCCTGAATGGAGGGATTGTTGACTTTTCATTTCTGTGGATGACATTCCCTCAGGACATTTTCAAAAGCCTTGTGCTTAAACATTATCTAATCACATTCTTGATAAGAATGTTAAGCTAAGCGCCATTTCAGAATTGTTTTCTAGATCCTCGGACCTAGAGTAACTCATTTCTTACTGGCTAGTTCCAAACACATTGTTATACTGACAGGCCCTGAACTATGTTAACTATAGGCATGAAGAGGATGACAGTCTTCTTAGTGGATGCCCAAACACCTTTAGCCTTGTGAAAAGAAGCACAAGACAGCTAGACACCAGTGGCTTACCCTTGTAATCCTAGCTAGTCAGGATCTGAGGATCTCTGATCAAAGCCAGCCTATGCAGGAAAGTCCATGAGACTATCTCTAAATATGGAACTGTGGCTCAAGTGGTAGAGCACTAGCCTTGAGCTAAAGAAACTCAGGATCCATTCCTGGCGCTGAGTTCAAGCCCCAGGACAGGCACGTCCTCCCTCCCCGCCCCCCCCCCAAAAAAAAAACAAAGAAAGAAAAGAAATACAGAAGTGCACCACTATTTTCAGAAGAGAACAAGCACCGGCCTCTGTCTGAGAAGGGTTATAAGACTGATACTTGGCTGAAATGTGAGGATTGCAGTTCAAAGCCAGTCTGGGCAGGAAAGTAGGGGTGATTCTTACTCTCCAGTTAACCAGCAAGAAGCCACGCTTGAGCAGAAAAAGCTAGGCAAGAGCACCAGGTCCTGAGTTCAAGGCCCAGTATCAGCATACACATACAAAAAGACTGACATTTCTTTGAAAAATAATTCTTCTGAGTTGACCCTTTCATAGTTTCAAGTTCTCTTTGTGTCATCTTTGTTCTGGGTGGCCCTCAGTGGTCAGCAACTCACTGAGACCCCATCACAGCCCTCCTCCCAACATCATCCCTCCTTCCCACCTCCTCCCACATGCATACCTTGTGGCTTTGGACTTGCAGCTGAACGATTCGCTGGTGTCTTCCCATTTATTCCCTGAGCCTCTTCAGATACATTCGGATCAACCAGTGTGGTTGTGCTGCTTGTTGAACAAGGTAGAACACTGACCTTTGGACAGGTACTGCTGCCTGTGGGTTAAAAAAAGAAAGCACAGATAAATACAGGGGGCCCACACAACCCTTGTCTTTGCAAGTTAAGCTTCTCCAGATCCTAGAAAACACCAACAGTCACAGTTACAGGATGAAGCATGGAAATAACTTTGTGGCTGTGTGCTGCCCTTGACAAAGAGCTTTCCTGGGTGAGATCTGTGCTTTGGATACCTTTAATGCACACTGAGCAAAGACGGCTACACATGCACCTTTCCTTCTAGGGACACAGAAAGGCAGAACAGCTGCTGCAATCTAGGCCACCCAGAGGATGGGAGGGGCACGGCTCATCTGGTAAAAGTGTTTCTTTCTCGTGTCCAGTCAGCCACCAGTCATCAAGCAGGAAAGCACCAATCAGACAGCTGACCTTAGGGCTCTAGGAGAATGGCTCAAACAGAAACAAACAAATGCACATCTGCTATGCTCTCCCCCACAAGCTTACTCACAGTTCATCCACAATCCATGATAAAGGCAAAGAGGAACCCAGAGTTTCCATAGATAACAGTGAGATTGTACTGACAACATTGTCCAAATTATTTACAATCAAAGCCCTCCCACAAAGATTCTTTAAAACAATGCTGAAATGTACCATGAGAAACTTATGAAAGGGAAAAGATTAGTCTTCCATTTAGCTCCTTCCTTCCTTGCCTCTCTCCCTCCTTCTTTCCTTCCTTCATTTTAGTTTCAGTTCTCAGGCTTGAAATCAGGACTTCACACACTTGTTTTTTCACTCCATGCTGGCGCTCGACTACTTGAGCCATACTTCCACTTCTAGCTCCTTGCTGCTACTTAATTGGACATAAGAGTAACAATAAATTTTTTGCCCAAATCTCAGCAGCTGGGATTATAGGCATGAGTCATGATCTGGCACCCAGCTTCTGATACAAGAACCTGAACTTTCAGTCATGAGGCTTGAACTCAGGACCAGGGTGCTGTCTCTGGGCTCTTTTGCTCAAGGCTAGCACTCTACCACTTTGAGCCACAGCACCATTCCTGATTTTTGAGTAGTTATTTGGATATAAGAGTTTCACGGGGACCTTTCTGTCTAGGCTGGCTTTGAACCACAACCCTCAGACCTCAGCCTCCTGGGTAGCTAGGAACACAGGCATGAGCCACTGGTGCCTGGCTCATAGACTTTGAAATGACTCTTTTTACATAAACTCCATTTCTTTCTCTTGAGGTTGACATGGTGGTATTAATAATAGACTTAACTCGTTATGTCGAAAAACAAACTTTACAACTTTGGTGGGGGGGTGGGGGGGAGGATGCGAAGGGATGGGAAGGGGAAACAAAGGAGGAGGCTACAATGCTTGATAAGAAATGTACTCATTATCTTGCCCATGTAATTGTAACCCCTCTGTACGGTATTTTCACAATAAAAAAATACATTTATAAAAAAATAGACTTAACTTCTTCCAAGAAAACAAGATTTTATTGACACGTATTGTTGTAGAAAAGGGCTTCATTTTGAAATTTCCATGTTTTTTTTTTTTTGGTCAGTTGTGGGGCTTGAACTCTGGGCCTGGGTGCTGTCCCTCAGCTTTTCAGCTTGAGGCTAGCACTGTACCACTTGAGCCACAGCGCCACTTCCAGCCTTTTCTGCTTATGTAGTGCTGAGGAATCGAACCCAGGGCCTTATGCATACAAGGCAAGCGCTCTACCACTGAGCTACCGTCCCATCCCTCCATATGTTTTTTTGATTATATTAAACCTTCCTCTCTATTACTCTTTCTTATCATCAAAATCCCTTTCCTTTTAAAAATATGATTTTAATGAGTTCCATTATGCTATTTTCATAAAGGCATATAATGAACAAATAGCATAGTCTCTACTTAACAAAGAGAAAATAAAATTTCTGCCAAGAATTCACTGTAATTGAGTGAAAGTAAGCTATTTAAGCAACTATTATTTGGTTAAGAGAGCTTCACATTTGCACAATTCAAATTTCTAAAACAAGAGCTATTTGAGTTTGGGGCTTATTTTTTAATGTATTTTATTCTACTTTCTGAACTTTAAAAGCTTGTATACAGTTTTGTTTGTTTGTTTGTTTTTGGGTCTGGTCGTGGGGCCTGAACTCTGGGCCTGGGCACTGTCCCTCAGCTCTTCAGTTCAAGGCTAGCGCCTACCTCTTGAGCCATAGCACCACTTCCGGCTTTTTTCTTTTTGCTTATTTGGTGCTGAGGAATCGAACCCAGGGCCTCATGCATACAAGGCAAGCGCTCTACCACTGAGCCACCTTCCCAGCCCCTGAACTTCAAAAGCTTGTAAAAGGCATGTTCATCTAAGTTTCCAGTGCTTCTTGATCAGTCACCGTCCCATCATTCTCCCTCTTGAGGAGTTGTTTTAACAAAGAAAAAAAACCCCTCTTGTTCTATTTCTTTTCTTTTCTTTCTTTCTTTTTTTTTGGTCGGTCGTGGGGCTTGAATTCTGGGCTTGGGCACTGTCCTTGAGCTCTTCAGCTCAAGGAGAGCTCTCTACTGCTTGAGCCACAGCGCCACTTCCAGTTTTCTAGTGGTTTATTGGAAATAAGAGTCTCACACACTTTCCTGTCCAGGCTGGTTTTGAACCTCCATCCTCAGATCTCAGCCTCCTGAGTAGATAGGATTACAGGTGTGACCCATGGGCATCTGGCTTGTTCTATTTCTTGAAGGGTTTTTTTGTTTTTGAAGGCTTAAAATCACTCAAAACACTAAAAGTTAACTTTTAAAGCCCAACCAAGCCGGGTACTGGTGGCTCACACCTGTATTCCTACTCAGGAGGATGAGATCTAAGGATCAAGGTTTAAAGCCTGCCTGGGGAAGGAAAGTCCATGAGACTATCTCCAATTAACCACCAAAAAGCCAGAAGTGGAGCTGTGGCTTAAGTGGAAAGAGGCTAGCCTTAAGCACAAAAGCTCAGGGGCGGCATCCAGGCATAGAGTTCAAGTCCTACGACTAGCACACACACACACAAACACCATAAAAAGAAAAGTGAGGGAAGGAGGGGAGGGTTGAGAGGGATGGGTGAGAATGTTGAAATGGGTGACATTGATCAAGATATATTCATAAATTGCTTTGTTAAATAGCAACTCCTTTGTACAACTACTTATAGGTAATAAAAAATTAAATATGTGGACCAAAAAAAAATGCAAGGGCTGGGAAAGTGGCTTAGTGGTAGAGTGCTTGCCTTGCATGCATGATGTCCTAAGCTGGATTTCTCAGCACCACATATGCAGAAAAAGCTGGAAGTGGTGCTGTGGCTCAAGTGGTAGAGCGCCTGCCTTGAGCTGAAGAGCTGAGGAACAGTGCCTAGGCCCAGAGTTCAGGCCCCACGACTGACTAAATAAATAAATAAATATAAAAATATAAAAATGCAGATTTAACTTTAACAGCTGATAGTGACAAAACTGTAAACGGGAGTCATGTGTTAAATGAAAAAGAAATGTATGTTTAAAAAGTAGATCTTGAATACCATGTATTAATATATGATATAAGCTGCATGCCAGTGAGCCATGTCTGTAATCATAGCTACTCATGAGACTAAGATCTGAGAATCCAAGTATGGAGCCAGCTCGGGCAGACAAATCTGTGAGACTTACCTCTAATTAACCAGCAACAAGCTGAAACTGGAGGTATGGTTCAAGCGACAGGATGCCAGTTGAGCAAAAAAAAAAGTAAGTGGGAATGTGAGGCCCTGAGTTCAGGTTCTAGTACTGGCACAAAAAATGTTTAATAAGCCACAAATTGAAAACAAAGCCCAAAAGTTGATGATAGAAAGTTTTCTCATTGTGGAGGGGAAGGGGAAAAACAAATCATTTAAATAAGGATACAGATGAACCCATTGCAACAATGAGATGTACAGGTCGTTATGTCCAAAACGAACTTTACAACTTTGGTGGGGGGGGGGAAAAACCAGTTGTTTAAGGATACAGGTGGAGAGGGAGGAGGGGGGATGGGAAGGGATGGGAAGGGGAAACAAAGGAGGAGGCTACAATGCTTGATGATAAATGTACTCATTATCTTGCCCATGTAATTGTAACCCCTCTGTACAGTATTTTCACAATAAAAAAAATGTTTTCTCATATGATGGGCTTTATGAATGTACTATTTACAAGGAACATCTCTCTCAGGGGTGGTAAAATGCTTTCAATATGAAATTCAAACTTCAGCCACTATCTTCTGACACACCATAACACAAGGAAAGACACAGAGAGGACTTACTCTGTGTGTGTGTGTGTGTGTGTGAGTATGTGTGTGTGTGTGTGTGTATGTTGATCCCAGGGCTTGAACTCAGGGCCTGGGTAGTATACCTGAGCTTCTTTTTTTTTTTTTCTTGTCAGTCATGGGCTTGAACTCGGGGTCTAGACACTATCTCTGAGCTCTTTTGCTCAAGGCTAGCACTTCACCACTTGGAGCCACAGAGCCACTTCCAGTTTTTTGATAGTTTAATTGGAGATAAGAGTCTCACAGACTTTCGGCCCAGGCTGGCTTTGAATTGTGATGCTCAGATCTCAGCCTCTTGAGTAGCTAGGACTGCAGTTGTTTAAAAGAAATACAATGACAAATACACAACATAGTATGTGGCTACAAGCACACCTCTCCTTACATTCACCACTAGTGTGTATGCCAACCTTGACATGACAAAGTCCACCTAAAACAAGCAGCATTTCAAACACTTTATCTGCTACCATCTTGGACGCAACAATAAACATAAAACTTGCCTTGTTTATGCCCGACTCAGAAAACTTACATTTGGAAGCAATCCTTATTTGGTTGCTGCCTGCATGAACAGGGAATTGAAACCAAATTGTAACCAGATGTTCTACCCATTCAGGAAGCCTTACATTAGCTTAGAGGACCTCTCAGATTCCAAGTGACAGAAAGCACCACAGTACAAGACACTTGTAATTAAATAGTTAATGTGGGCACAGATAGAACTAATTGCAGTATGTCAGGATGCCTGAGAACTGGTCATCTTCTGGTAATCCTTTTTAAAAATTTTTT